TATAAAGGTAGTCTATCTGCTAAGGTCACATATGTGACCTTAAACAGTAGAAAACAGTGGAACCAGAGTTTCTATGTATTATTTTATAAAGCTTATTTTATATTTCATTGAAGTTAATAGTATTTTATTACTTTTTTTTTTAAGAAAATTTTCACCATATCAGGATGTTTACCGGAGAGACTGTATCCCTCCTCCTGGTCCCCCGGGAGGAGACTATTCTCAGAGTAGGTACTCTTGGAATGTAAAGCCAAATACCAGTCAAGCAACCCAGAATAAAAGGTGGTCTTCTGGCAGTTACTATAGACTCTCCTATCCAACCTATTGTGGATGGACCGAGTGACACAACCCTATCCTGGAAATCTATCTGGAGACAGAGCAGGACTGAAGACAGCTGGAATGACTTTTTATCAGAGCAGGTCAAATGAGGTTTATAATCTGTTTTATTTCTCCCTTATATGTTCAAGTATAAGGAAAAATTGTATTGATATTTACCTCTTTGCTCATAAATTTGCACTACTTGCAACAGTGAAGGAAATAATATGTCATTCCAGTCTTAAATTTTTTTAAAGGTGATATTTTAGAAGTGATAAAGTAATAAAAGAACTTCCCTTGTAAATTATTTTTTAAAAATTCTATCTTTTCTATGTATTTCCTTCTAACTAGACTTGTGATATGAATGTGTGAAGGTGCAGACATTTTTAATGTTTTTGTCATGTTCTGTCATTGAGCCAATCAGTCATTAAGGATCTCTGTTACCCCAGCTGTTGAAGGATTCTATTAGAATCTACCTGAGAGACAATCTCTTTAGAACCTGATCACTATTTGTAATTAGCTATGGTATTTTTATGACTAGGCATTTCTTTCTTTGGCCATCTATTGTGGGATTTGACTGACTTCCTTTAACTGAATTTTCAGGGTGCAATCTAAACACAGGAATGGATAAATTCTGAGGGATTGATTGTCAATTTATTGATTGTCACTTTGGTTTTATTGATAAGCCAGAAATGCTAGGTAGTTTACCTAAAAGGGTAATTGTTAATCGACTGGGTAGATCTATTCAGAAAACTTGAAAACTTGTATGTATATATATGACTATAAAGTTTGCTTACTGAGCAGAATAGGCTACAACATTAAAAGCCTGGGATATCTGGGAAGACTTGCATGGTTCCTTGTGTTACTGCTTTTCTGTTGAACAGAACTTGATAGGCTCTTTCTCCACTCTTTTCTCACAGTGGGTGGTACCTTGACCTTAACTTTTTTCAAAGTTGTCTTTTCTGTTGATATACCTCGAACACACAAATGGATCACTTGGGAGATGTTAATTAGTTTTAGCTACAGAGAAGCCACAAACCTTTGCTGCTCAAGACAGTATTTCACCATCACAACAGAATTCTCGGTAGATATTTGATGAATATTTGAGCAACTTGGCTTAATGTTTTTAAAGCCCCTGATTTAAAAAATTTGTATTACAGAATGTTTGATGCTGCACAATAGTAATTTTCTCTGTTTACTTTTATATGTGAACAACATGTGGACACAGACCCTAAGGGGGTGCTCTAACTCAGCTACTCCCCTGGGCTGTCCATTTAGCTCAGTCAGGTTGCTTCCCTTCATCTAAGGGATGGCTCATGAAGTTTTTCTCTGCCTGCCACACTTAACAGAGATACAAGAATTCTTGCTAAAAGGCAACTCTTAGGAAATTACTCCCTAGGATACATTGTGAAGGCTCACTTGGAAAGAAATTAGAGCAAGACAACTAGTAAGGCAGAAAAGAACAAGCAGGGGCAGGTATGGGAATCCACAGTCTTAGAGTCTCATAGTGTTAAGTTCCTTGGCTAGCAGTTCCTAAGGAGGATGTTACCAGTAGAGGTCCCATCATATAAGCACTGATACTTCAAAGAAGCCCTCCTTGGCCCTGTTGTCCCACACTGTCTCCCCTTCCCGTTTCGGGCATCAACGTGGCTTGTCAAACACTAGTCTCTTGCTCTCTTGTACCTCATTAATTCTTCAACACACTTAAGTTCTGGGTTCTGCTCACACCCACCAATGAAAGTCCTCTGGCTAAACGGACCAGCAACTCCCTTTTTTAAAGGTCTTCAGTGGTTTTTTTAAGCCTTAAAATTTTTTATTTTTATTAAAATAACATGTGAGTGGTTTAAATCCAAATAGTTCTATGAAAAAGAATAGTACCCCCCCTCCACCCTACCACCAGTCATCACTCCACAAAGTCAGCCACTTTTTTTTCCCATTAGCTTCTAATATTCACCTCCCTATTAGACACTTCTAATAATAAATCTTGTCACTTCTTGATTTTTCAATTTGAGTTAGTATTCTGTTGTATGGTATACTACAATTTGCTTATCCATATCCCAGTTGAAAGGGATTTGGGTTGTTTCTAGTTTTTGATTTTTGAACAAAGCTGCTGTAAATACTTGTGTACAGGTTTCTGTGTGAACATAATGGTGTTTATTTCTTCTGGAGTGGGATTGCTGCTATGGGGTAAGTGTATGTTTCATTTTATAAGAAACTCCCTAACTTTTCCAAAATGGCTCTACTATTTTAAATTCCCATCAACAAGATATAAGTTCCATTTGCTCACATCCTCACCAGCACTTAATATTGTCAGGTTTTTCTTTTACTTTAGCTATTCTGATACAGATGTTGTGTTGCCTGATTGCAATTTTTAAAACAAATTCAGAGCTATAATTGACATACAATACACTATACATTTTTTAAGTGTACAGTTTGATACATTTGAAATATATACATCCATGAAACTGTAACCACAGTTAAGACAAACATATTTATTACCCCATAGTTTCCTTGTGCCCCTTTGTAATTCCCCTTTTCCACTCCAGGGCCCCCACCCAAGCAACCACTGATCTGTTTCTGTCATGATAGATCAGTTTTATATAAGCAAATCATACAGTGTGTATTTTTATGTCTGGCTCTTCATTCAGCGTAGTTACTTGGAGATTCATCCATGTTAATTGCATGTAGCAATAGTTGATTCCTTTTTGTTGCTAATTTGCAGTTCATTGTATGATAGCACTTTGTTCATTTACTTGAACATTGAGGTTGTTTCTGACCTTATTGGTGGTTACAAACAAATTGCTATGAACTGAGACTTTTTTTTAAATGCCTATTTTTTAATCAACCTTATTGAGGCAGAATTTATAGTCTAAAATGTACTCCTTTAAAGTATATAATTTAATGAATTTTGACAAATTCATACTCTTTTGTAACTAATACCACATCAAGGTATAGAAAGAACATTGACTTCACCACAAAGGTTCTCTTGGGGTCCTTGCCAGTCAATCTCTGCCATTCCCACATCCCAAGCAACCACTAATTTGCTTTCAGTCACTCTGGAATAAATTCGTAATTCTGAGAGCTTTGTAGAAATGGGGTGTTCATACAGTTAACATAATCATAATCTTGGTTTCTTGGCTTTTTTTTTGCTAAGCATGTTTTTAGATTCATCCATGTTGCAAGTATTGCTGTTGTAAATATCAGTAGTGTATTCCTTTTTGTTGCTGAGTACCATCTCACTGTATGAATTTACCACAATTTGTTTATCCACTGAGGTGCTCTTCAGCATTGGGTTGTTTCCAGGTTTTGGCTATTATAAGTAAAGTTACTATAAACATTCATATACAAGCCTTTATGTGGACACATTTTAATTTCTCTTGGTAAATACCAAGGAGTGAAATTGCTGGCTACAGTAAGTACACATCTGATTTTTTTTAAAACTGCCATACTCTTTTTTTAAAACTGCCATATTCAGACCAGCAATATAGTTCTGCACGTTTGGCAACACTTGTTATTATCAGGCTTTTAAATTATAGTCATTATGTGGGTATAGTAATATCTCATATTTTTTATTTGCATTTGCTTAATGACATGATGTTGAGCATCTTTTCATATGTTTATTGGCCTTTCATATGTCTTCTGTGACTTGTCCAAATATGTCACCCATCCTAAATTAGGTTGTTTCTCTTATTCTTGAGTTGTAGGCATTGTTTTATAATCAGGATACCAGCCTTTTGTCAGAATAAATCATTTTTTTCCATGTATATTCCTACTGTGTTCAAGTTCCACAGTTGTCTTTGCTGTTACTTAAATAGGCTAAGGCCAAACATGTCTACAGAGACTTTGAACTCTGTTGCCTGGAGTGCTGCTCTCCCACAGCTGGCCAGACCTTCTCCCTCCGGTCACTGTTAAAGTGGTCTTTTTGGTGACATCTTTCTTAACCTTCCTACTTAAAATAGTAATACCCCATGGCCTGGCACCTCCACCCCTTTTCTCTAGTTTATTTCTCCATAGCACATATCCACCCAACAGTTACATTTGTTATTTACCTATCTTCTTGTTTAAAGAAAAATATTGACCCAACATAAGCTCCAACCATAAGGAACAAGGAAAATGGTTCTATTCGGGCTGTTGAGGGATTACCTCCTCCTTGGAGGCCGATACGGTCAGGGATGACAAATTCATGAGACTGCTAGATGAAGGAAGAGGTTGATCTCAGTAAGGTGCGGTCACCTACCTCAACTAGCCAAGGGAGATCGGCAAGCGCGGCCACTCGAGGCTTTCCCTAAGTGACCGCACGTAGGGCAAGAAGGAAACTTGAGCCCCGCCTGCCTCGAAAAATAACTGGAGCAGCGGAGACCTATACGGGGCTCATCTTGGCCACACTTACTTGCACAGGAAGAAACTGAGGACGTCTCATCTAAGGCTGAACACGGGTTAGGGACAAGGCTGAGGGGGACTTCGCACCCAGGCCTCAGCTTCCGCCCCCGGATCCACTCCGCCCTCCGCGCCCCTCCAGCGGGGGGTCGAAGGGCCTGCTCACCGGCGGGTGGGACGGTGGCGCGGAACCTTCCGTCCGCTGAGATCCGGAAAGACGGGTTACGGCTGGGGCGCTGCTGCGGCCGGAAGCCGGGGGCTTTGTTTCCGAGGGGAAGACCTTAGGAGTCGGACTGGGCGCGACGGTGAGTACTGGCGCGCGGGCGGACAGGCCGGCTGGGAGGAGGGCTGGAGGTGAGGGCGCGGGGGCACGGAGCCCCGCGAGCAGCAACCTGAGCGTTTTGAGATGATCCTGGGGTTTCTCTCCGCCCTATCTTTCAAGCGCCTCCCGAGGCCAGGCCTGGGAATGCAGCACGGATTGAGAGACTCAGCCTCCCTTCAGGGGTGTACGGTTTAGTGAGGATACAACTGGCAGGCCCCTGGGTCACTCGAGTTGTGACAAGGGCTAAAAAGCGCGTATTACAGGGACCTAGGCCCGCGGCTCTGGCACGCTCCTGAATGGACTCTTAACGGCGAGTTGAAGGGAGGGAGGCGTGAGTCAGGGGAACTACGTGTCCGAGAGGGCATGTGGGAGAAAGCTTTGTGACCAGAAGCTGAGAAAGCCATTGCGGTATCAGAAAGAGGCTGCCCAGGGAGACGTGCGCTGGAAAACAAGAGGGAGGAAGGGCCCATCAATAAGAGACTGGAATTCCATGAAGGGAGTGGGGCTTTTATTATAAGAGCAATGGGAGTACAAGGTATAGTTTACAATTTGAAAGGATCACTTTTACAACGGGATGGAGGTTAGATGATAGGAGGGCAGGAATTGTTAGGAGGCCACAGCTATAGATAACAGATGGTGCCGGTGGCAATGGGTATGGGAGAGAAGCGGATCGGCCAAAATGACACTTAAGAGGTGAAACCGGCAAGACTATAAATAGATACGGAATTCCAGTGGTATCCATAGGTATCCAACGATGGTTCTAAGTTTCTGGCCTAAGTGAGTAATTCGTATAAAACAAAAACTTGAGATTTGCTAGGGGTCCTTGTACCCTAAGTCTAAAGACAAAAACCACAGAAAGGATTTTTCCTCCCTGATTATATGTATTCATATTTTGTGTGCTCACTGTAGAAAATTCAGAACATACAAAAACATTTTATACAGGACAATAAAAATTACCTATAATCCTACTACTCAAGATGGTCATATTTTGGTATGTTTCCTTAAAGTTTGTGTTTTCTGTGTGCATCTTTTTGTATAATTGGGAATATATTCATTATGTTTCTGTATCTTCTTTTTTCATTTGACATTGCTATGACAATAAAGATTGAACTACTGTGTGCCAGGACATTGTTCACAAAAATTTTTTTTCCAGGTTGTAACAAAAAGTCAAGTATAATTCCACCTAGTCAGGGGATAGTTATTTGGTGTATTTTCCTTTCAATGGTTTTTCTTTTTGTGTACCTTTTTAAGAACCCCACAATCTGTGCCACATTTGTTTTGTTTTCCAATTAGATGTTTTTGGTGAAGTTGCTTACTGCAGTTCTCACACATCCTGAACTGCTCTTCAAGGCTACACAACCAATCCCCTGTTATGAGCTAGATAGGGTTGTTTTCAACTCTTTATTATTAGAATGATGAGAGGGACATCTTTTTACTTAAGTCCTCAAATTTCTAATTTATTCCTTGAGAAAGAGTCCTAGAAATGGAATCTTAGCAGGTAGGATAAAATGAACCTATCAAATTGCTTCACCCAAATTATTTTAAGCCTTGGATTGAAATTGTTTTAAAGATCAAATTATTGCAATAATGTAATTTTTCCATTTAAAGGTATGGTTATATCTGTCTAGTTAGTCAAGTTGTCTTGATGCTTCTTTTATGTTTTTGTATATACCCTGTCCTTGTTAAATATGTCTAAGAAAGGGCCAAGATTACTGATTATTTAATCATTGTATCCTCTCTGCTACAATTCCCTATGTGAAATGAGTATCTTTGAGTCAAGTATACTTTCTTCTATAAACTTATTTTGTCCTTAATATTTGTGTTTAGGTTCTGTTAAAATATGAATACAATGGTGAGGTCAGAAAGCTGAAAGGGCTGAGCTCAAGTGAGGTTTTATTAATACCATGAGCCATAAGTAACCCATGGTCTAAACAATTCCTGATATTCTGCTTCTACTTGTCTGTTGGGGAAGCTGCCCCTCAGCCGCCTCTCAGCTGTTCTTCAGAGCCTGCATCATCTGTACAATCAGGGAGCCAGGTGAATCTTGATCCTTTCCCAGGAGAGGTAAAGGAAGCTAAAAACAGGAGGGTTAGGAAGACAGCATCTCATGAGGATGCCAAGTGTGGTTTTGGGATGGAGTTTTCTAGTTTAAACAGTTCTATCATTATTAAAGTTACTTAATTGTTAGCAAGGATCTTTGGTAGTGAATTGCAACGGTAACTTCTAAACAAAAGAATTCTTGATCTTTTTGGTTTTGTACAGTAGAATCCTGCTAATCTATGAAATGCACTTAACACATCAGCTGGACCTATTTCCTGAATGCAGGGTGACCCTTCTGTTATTTAAAGGGGTAAAAAATTCTGGAGACTTGAGAAAAAAGGCCATGGACGGTGCTATTGATGGTTCCTTAATAAACCCTACATTGGTAAGTACAAGTAAGAATGAGTAAACTGTTCAGGGCATTTACCAGTAAGTTAATTTTTCGTGATGTTGTAGTCTAGCCTAATAATCATCTTCAGATAAAAAAGCCTTATTCAAGCTGTGGAGGGGGGTCAGGTTTAGCCAACCTTGAATTTAACAGTGAATAGAAGCCGAAGTGCCAGGCTCTGCTCTAGGACATGTGAAAGGTTGTGGTCTGGCTCTGATGTCATGGCAGAAGGCCATGGCCAGGATCTCCATCTTCTCATCTAAACTTGGAAATCTCCGCAGAGGAGGTAACGCATAGTGGTTGAGAGCACACCCCGTGGAGTCACATTATCAGGACTTAATCCCAGCTCTGCCATTTATTGTGACTTTGAACAAGTGGTAGCCAAATACTTAGTGCTTACTCTGTTCCTGGTGTTCTAAGTGCTTTACATATACTAACTTGATTACTCGTCACAACAGCCCTGTGAAGTAAGCGGTGTGATTACCTGAACCTCACCAGTAACATGCCCAAGGTGTTTGCTAGTCCCCTCGGTGGTGAGTGGGAGCCGGGCTTCGCGCGCAGATGTTACTTGCTGTGGTTTCCTCATCTACTGCATGTGAATAAGGTCTATTTCTTAGGGTAGTTGTGAAAATTAAAGAATATTCAGGTGAAATGTTTAGAATATGGTATTTCCCATATTAGCCCTTAGTAAATGAGGATGCCAAGTGTGGTTTTGGGATGGAGTTTTCTAGTTTAAACAGTTCTATCATTATTAAAGTTACTTAATTGTTAGCAAGGATCTTTGGTAGTGAATTGCAACGGTAACTTCTAAACAAAAGAATTCTTGATCTTTTTGGTTTTGTACAGTAGAATCCTGCTAATCTATGAAATGCACTTAACACATCAGCTGGACCTATTTCCTGAATGCAGGGTGACCCTTCTGTTATTTAAAGGGGTAAAAAATTCTGGAGACTTGAGAAAAAAGGCCATGGACGGTGCTATTGATGGTTCCTTAATAAACCCTACATTGGTAAGTACAAGTAAGAATGAGTAAACTGTTCAGGGCATTTACCAGTAAGTTAATTTTTCGTGATGTTGTAGTCTAGCCTAATAATCATCTTCAGATAAAAAAGCCTTATTCAAGCTGTGGAGGGGGGTCAGGTTTAGCCAACCTTGAATTTAACAGTGAATAGAAGCCGAAGTGCCAGGCTCTGCTCTAGGACATGTGAAAGGTTGTGGTCTGGCTCTGATGTCATGGCAGAAGGCCATGGCCAGGATCTCCATCTTCTCATCTAAACTTGGAAATCTCCGCAGAGGAGGTAACGCATAGTGGTTGAGAGCACACCCCGTGGAGTCACATTATCAGGACTTAATCCCAGCTCTGCCATTTATTGTGACTTTGAACAAGTGGTAGCCAAATACTTAGTGCTTACTCTGTTCCTGGTGTTCTAAGTGCTTTACATATACTAACTTGATTACTCGTCACAACAGCCCTGTGAAGTAAGCGGTGTGATTACCTGAACCTCACCAGTAACATGCCCAAGGTGTTTGCTAGTCCCCTCGGTGGTGAGTGGGAGCCGGGCTTCGCGCGCAGATGTTACTTGCTGTGGTTTCCTCATCTACTGCATGTGAATAAGGTCTATTTCTTAGGGTAGTTGTGAAAATTAAAGAATATTCAGGTGAAATGTTTAGAATATGGTATTTCCCATATTAGCCCTTAGTAAATGTTATTTTTAAAAAATTTTTTACAGTTTAAGTTTCTTGCAGCTTTAAAATTCTGTGATTTTCTGACACCCGGGCCCTTGAGAGAGCCGTTCTGAAAATGTAGCCCGTAGGTATTATGAAGAAGAACGGCCTGACGTTGGAGTTGCCTTGAGACAGGGTATGCATCTTCAGAACATTCCCAGGTCTGTGTGTAATTCGTTTGTTCTCCTTGGTAGATTGTTGATCCATTTCAGATACTTGTGGCAGCCAACAAAGCAGTTCACCTCTACAAACTGGGAAAAATGAAGACAAGAACTCTGTCTACTGAAGTTATTTTCAACCTTTCCCCAAATAACAATGTAATTAATATGGATTTTATTTACTTTTTTTCTGTTGACCTCGTCATGATAACCTGTGTGTTCCTCAGTGTTGGGTTGGAGGCTAAATTCTTTTAGGCCTGTTGTTAGTAACAAATCAAAATAATAGTGACAAGAGCTCTGGAATAGAGAGCTGAGGTTTGGCACTGCCTCTTAATAGACAATAAGCTCTGATGTCACTTCACATATGAGTAAAAAAAAGTTAAGCTAAGCTGAGGTTAGTTTTATCTGTTCTTCCTGGGTCAGGAAGATCCCTCTAAATAATATCTAAATCTTAATGATGAAACACTAGGCATGGATCTTGTAAACTACTTGAAGACAGGACCCATGTCTTTTCCATGTACCAGAAGCCTACCCGGTACCCAGAACAGCCTTTAACACATGCTTTCTTATAGGCCTAGAGCATAGGGAGAGTTTGTGGCTTAAGATCCTGATAATAATCAGTTATTGAACTGAAGACATTACACCTGTGGCACATTTAAAAGAAAATCTGAAATTTCGCTGTTGAAGTTTTAGTGTTACTGCTATTATTCATGATACAACCAGGTACTAATATCATCAAGAGGAAAATTAGGAAGCCTGTGGCATGGTTTAAAATACAGATGTTTGAAAAGTTTATAAAATGCATATAATAGAATTCCCCAGTACCTAGGGTAGAAATTACCAAGTAATTATTGTTTCTTCGAGATCATTTCAAATAATTCGAGAAACTTTGCCATTCAGTAAATAGCCATTGAGCTTGTCCCTGTCCCAGTTCCAGTTCTACAGGCAGCAGAAAGAAGGATATTCCTGAGGAAGGCAGATGATGACAGAAATTCACATGAAAGAATGGGAACAATAATTCAATTTATGGGAACAGCAAAGCAGCAATTCATTCTGTAAGAAATAGAGCACAGTGGGGAGTGACATTTGAACTGGACCTCGAAGGATGTGGCGCTCTAGGTAGAGGACAAAGTGTGAGACCAGGCAAAACAGTTTGAAATGACGGGCTCCTCAAGTGGTTAGAAGGCCGGTGTGCATGGCCAGAGGGTCCCTTGGGGCCAGAGGGAGGGGGTCCGCATGCCATGCCGAGAAGTCTGGGCCTAACAGCACCAGCAGGAGCAGCAGCTCTGAGCAGAGAGTGTCCTCGGGCACAGCTGGTAGGTGTTAGGAAGGGATTCTGGAAGGGAAAAGCTGCAGGCAGACAGAACCATTAGAATATGAAAAATAAGAGCCTGCCTGGAGAAGAAGGCAGATGGGGGATGTTTCAGATATTGGAACTACTTGTTTATTGTGTTTTTTTTTTTAACTTAGATTTCAGAGGCACTGAAAAAATTTGGTATATCAGCAAATGACACTTCAATTCTAATTGTTTACATTGAAGAGGGAGAAAAACAAATAAATCGGGAAGACCTGATATCTCAGGTAGAAGGTCATCAAGTATCTCTGAAAAATCTTCCTGAAATAACAAACATCACAGAAGTCAAAAAGGTTTGTGAACCTCTAATTTTAGAAAGAGTATGATAAATGAGGAATAATTCTGTTTCTGTTTGCTTATTGTTCACCAATGCTTCTCTCTTTTTTGAACTTTTAAGACAGATTAATGGAAAATTACTTGGAAAGTAATTATAGATGCAAAGAATTGGAAGATGCAGGTTTATGTAAAATATTATTAGAAAGTTACTTGACAAAAACATTCTCTACTTAAGAAAGAATAGCTAACTTTAAGTATCAGACTCACATAGTACATTTGAAACGTAAAATAAATCTAGTATGAAGTTAATATCTAGATGTGTGCCTTTTAAAATTAGTTCAAATTTGGTGTCTATGTTTAGAGACTTATCAACGTACCTGCAATTTAAAGGGAACTTTTGACCTAAGTGGTGATTGCTACATACTTTGCTTACTTTAATCACATTTGTGATTTGTAGTTTCATACGATTATCCCAATAACAGAATGATATAATCTCACTTAGACAAGTTTGTATAATGAAAATTAGTAGTACATGAATATATCACCATGTCATAATTTATCTTTTATTTTTACAGATATATAAGCTGTCTTCACAAGAAGAAAATATTGGGACATTATTGGATGATGTCATTTGTAGAATGTCAACAAAAGATGTTTTGTGAAATGACAGATAGTAAACTTTCAACATTTATCAAAACCATTGATTTCCCTTTCCTTTTTATAAAATTTATATGTGTTCCTTAAAGAAACTTTTAAATACAATGGTAAAACAAAACAAAAAAAATACACCTAATCCTATATTAATATTTTAGTATTTTAAAAGAGAATCACTGTTACTTCTATTTGTTATTGTCTTCTACTCTCCTGTTTCTATTCCTATATAACTGGAATAATTGGATGTCTGTAATGTACTGGGTTCTTGGAATAGTGATTTCATATCCATCAGCTCATGCCCCTGCTTATTTCTGACTACCCTGGCATTCTCCCTCCAAGGCTTCTGGTTCTAAGGGTTCTACATTCAAGACTTCACTTAATTCTCACCATGCCTCAGGAGGTAGATACTGTTTTACCCCCATTTTTAAAACAGGCACAAAAGGTTACTTATTAGAAACAAAAATAACTTGCCAAATTTAATACAGCTAATGTAAAGTCATGTGTAATAAATTAATTGGACTTTTTTCTGTTACCTTATTTTTTTGATCGGCCAAAATTAACTAGGTCAGATGGCAGCCTGTATAACTCAGCTCCTGGAACCGATTCCTGTCACCTCTACCTCCTGTCTCTCTTCAGTTCTTGGGGCAGTAAAATGCCTGTTCCATATCCTCCTTTGTTCCCCTCTACCCAACCACAACTTCATAATTAGTCCCTTTGATTATCTATATGAATCTTCTTGAGTTAGCTTGACTTGAGTGTTGGGCCTGATCCTCTTTCCCTTACTCAGAGAATTGGTTCAAACCTAGGTTACAGAGCATGTCTAACATAGTGTTAGAGTGCTGGAATCACCATACTGGGATGTCCGAACATCTTAGCAGGGATGGTGTGCCTGTCTGCCTCTCTACCCCTTCACATGACTGGCCATTGTCTTCTTTCACTCATGTCCTTTAAATTGTGAGCTCTCAGTGGAGTCCAGGGCATGGGCCTGAGGTATGGGTATCAAGTAACAATAGAAATATAAGTACTAAATGTGAAGAGCAAAGGCTTCAAAGGACAGAGCAGATGCCAGAATCCATCTGGTCCATAATGGTCAGAAGTCTTGTGCAGAAGGAGGTATTAGCCTGGATATTAAACAAACAACCTTAGCTACGTACTGGAATTTGGCCAAGTGTGGCCTGATCCCTGGCAATAAATAGGATGGGTAATGGGCCTTCGGGGTGAGTCTCACACCAACCCAGTGGAGCCTGTTCTCTTATACGGTGCTTTACACTTATTCATATTTCACCAAACACTAGTCAGACATGTGCCTGTGGTACTGAAAGATGCAGGCTATGGAGTCAGAGCTGTCACAAATTGAGATGCCACGTGCCACATTCGGGGGGGCTTTGGGTAGAAGATCTCAGCTTTCTCGGCCTTGGTTCCCTATTTGCAAAATGCGGACATTAACCTCAACCTCAGGACTTAGGTTGTCATGAGCTCAGGCTTATAACAAATAGCACAGCCCAGAAAAGGGCCTCCTCACGGTGACAGCCATCTAATATCTTGGGGAATAACAGCTACCTCCCCTCTCTTGGCACCAGGCAGCAGTGCCCAGGCAGAGAGTAAAATGAGACTCGCTGATGGCAGGAAAGTAACACAGTGCAGTCACTTTGGACAACTGCTGGGTAGCTCCTCAAAATGTTAAAACAATTTCCACCTGATCCAGCAATTCTGCTCCTCATACCTCCCCTCTCTTGGCACCAGGCAGCAGTGCCCAGGCAGAGAGTAAAATGAGACTCGCTGATGGCAGGAAAGTAACACAGTGCAGTCACTTTGGACAACTGCTGGGTAGCTCCTCAAAATGTTAAAACAATTTCCACCTGATCCAGCAATTCTGCTCCTCGTTTCATGCCCAGGAATTGCAGACGTGTTCAAACAAAAACTTGTACGTGAAAGCTCAGAGCAGCACTCTTCACAATAGCGGAAACAACCCAAATGGCCACAGTGGATGACTGGATACATAAACGTGCTCTATCCCGACTAAGGAACGTGATTCAGCCATAGGAGCAACGACGTGCTGATGCATGTACAGCATGAGGGAACCATGAAAACATGAAGTAACATGGCTGAATAGAGAACTTCACATTTTGCATGGTTCCATGTGAACAAAACATCGAGAATAGGGAAATCCAAGGAAATGTCAGATTAGTGTTTTCAGAGGTGTTGGGGATAGGGGCAAAGAGGGAGTGAATGCCGAGCACGCAAGGGGCTTCCTTCGGGAAGAAGAAAATGCTTTGGAAGTAGACCCAGGTGATGCTTGCGTGACACTGCAAGTGTACGAAATGCCACTGAAATGTACACATTAAGGTGGTTAATTAACACATGAAATGAGAGAAGCAGCACCCCTGCCTTCCTGTTAGGAGCTCACGACCTTAGCTGGATCCCTTTAGACTCTCGAAGTCAGCTGGGCACAGCCAGGCAGATGCCTCTCAACCCTCAGTTTCCTCTGAAAGCAGGACCAAGAGCCTGGAGTGTGCCACGACTTTCAGGCTTCATCCTCTACCGAGATTCACCCGCAAGTCCCCGGGGCACACACAGCTGCGGCCACCACCTGGCGGGCCACTCAGGCTTTCCCTGCCAGCTTGTGTGTGTTCATTATTTTTAGGTTACATATTTCCAAACCTGAATTAGAGCATACTGTCTTACAACCTTTTACTGCTTGGAGCTATTATTTTAACAATCTTTTCCACGTCAATATATCCTCCTCATCACGTAGTTCAAGCTGTAGGAAGGAGGGAAAGCCTGAATGTAAACTGAGGCCATGGGGTGTCGAGGAAGCCACAGACCCCGGTGAGGAAACTGAAGGAGCAGCTGGGGACAGACCTCAGGCCTCAGGCCCTGCAGCTTGACCATTAGGTTTCTGACCGGTTAATGTTAGACTCGCTAGGAACCCTCCCCTGCACTTTGGCCCTCTGTCTGACTGCTGGCTCACACTCAGCTTAACTCGGAAATGCTGAAAATGAACTTCAGGGTAGGGAAAACAACGTAACAAACACCCATGGCTCACCGCCTCAACATTTCTGATGGGGAAGGCTTCCGGGTGGCTCCTTAGGGGCAGACATGAGTTTCACCCCAAGCCTGACCTCTCTCCAGCATCCCCTGGAGGCTCTTGCCAGAAACCTGGTGGGCATCTCTGACTCCGTCCTTACCCTCATTCCCAGTAGGACTGTAAGTAACACCTGCCATTTCTACTCCCCAAGCACCTGCAGGCCGGTCAGGTCTCATTGTCAGGGTCACCCCCCTTTGGCCTGAGCCACCGCTGTCTCTCACCGGGCCTCGGTTGGCCCAGATGGCTCCTTTGTGAACACAGAACGAGGCACCCCACCTTGGCAGAGGAGCCCATTGCATGCACAGTTCAGTGGGCGACAATGCTTTATTTGAGCAAAGAAGGAAATAGTGGCTCTCCTATGGGCAGACCTAGCTCTGTCCAGGCTCACGGCTTGTCGTTGGGCACATGAGGTTCCACTCGGGTTCTCTCTCGGCCCCCTTGGCCAGGTGCTCTTCCAAGGTGAGCAAAGTGCATCTGCACCTGAGGCCACCCCTCCCTGGAGCCCTGCACACCTTCTGGGGCCGGGGGACACCCACTCCCATTCCTGCCACCCCCAGCCCTTCCCACGTGGAGCTAGACGCATGCATGTGCACACCCAAACACCCCACACTCACATAACCCTGACTCTGTCACTCCCACCAGAAGCACAGTGGCCTCCTGTGGTGCTGGGAATAGAGTCCTAACCCCTAACCTGGAAGGCAGGCCCTGCATGGCCAGACCCCTGCTGCCCACCGACCTCCTTTGGTGGCCATGTGGGCCGTCGTTTCCTGAAAGCCTTGCCTTTGTCCTGCCTCAGAAACCTTTCATGCTGCTGTCGCCTCGGCCTGAACCACTGCCTTCACTCACCCTGCTCAGGCCTACCCAGCCTTCTGAACTCTGTCTGTGTCCTCCCAGTGTCATTCTGTTTCATTTTCCCTGTTTATTTAGTGCTACATTTCAGCGCAGAACAGTTAAGTGCTCTTGCGGCACAGGTATGACCAGCGTTCAGCACCCGCGTCAGCTGCACACTGTACAGGTGCCCAGCGGCTTCTGTCAACATTGTTGGAAGCTAAAAAGAACCGTTGCTCATTACAGGTGCATGTACACAACACTGCCTCCGGGGCCTGACTGCAGTGGGTGAATGGAGGTGGAGCCTAGTGAGGTAAGTGCAAGGAACTGCATCAGATCAAGTTCACAGGCACCAGGGGCAGCACACACACGGACAGGCAGCTCTGAAGGACCTTGCGTCCTGAGCCAGGGGACCTGGACCTTGACTTGTGATGACAGCACACAGGACCAGGGTGCAGCCAGGCTCCTAGCAGGCGTGTGGAAGGACTGAGGCCATCAGACACTCCATGGGGCCAGGTAGACAAAGTCTGGGCCTGAACCGCTATGCGAAGAGTGGGTACAGGCCATCCAGAGGGTGAGGACTCCTGAGCTCGCCCAGACCTGCTTTTCCCTCAAGGCTCCTTCCCTGCCTATCACACAGGTGACTGTAATGGGCGCCCTGCTCTGTCATAGCCCAGCTTCTTGTCCTGGGGTTTTATGCTCATCAAATGTCCAGGCACCAGCCAATGTGATGCCATCCAGGGCCTAGGCCCCAGAGGTGGGGCAAGCCCTGCCCTGTCTCCAGGGACGCGTGTCTGAGGCTGAGGGCACAGGTAGGCGAAGGCCTCTGTGGACACGCAAGGCTGCTGCGGTAGCAGGTGAGATGACCGAGGGGAAGGACAGTGCTCTGAGGGCGGCCTTGAGCCCAGACTCTCCTAACTATCAACACTGGGCCATTTTTGGTAACTGACTATCAAGCCACTTCAGGAGCCCAAAAATTTACAGTGAAGGGCAGGAGACATTGCTGAAGTTTGTGGCTGGGAACAAAGGAATCCTGCAGTGTTTGGACCCTGGGAGAGGGACTGATGGGCCGGGGACATGGGGTCAGGCTGCTGCTGGGTGCTGCCCCACTGCAGCCAGAAGCTGGT